TTACCTTATTATATTCTCATATCCACCCTATATATAATTGCAGAATGCGTTGAGTCTAAGTAGCATGTTCTCACGCTTCGGAATCCTATGTGGAAAATTGTGCTTCGGAGTCAGGAATATAAATTAATACTGTGGAAAATTGTGCTTCGGATTCAGAAATATAAATTAATACTTTTTATACAAAATAAGTATGCTTGGATTTCATTTAATGTCTATATCATTTATATTAAATCCTAATTGATATCTTCCTTCTATTATTCTACAATTACTTACCACAAACTATTTTAATCTTTTTCCTACATTACCATTTATTAAATTTTATTTTCTTATTTAATCCATACATCAATTATTATAAATGTTATCCTTCTTATTTTTGTAATTGTGTAAATTTTTTGGTTTGTACTTTATTTTTATATATGGTATATCAAATTATTTATCTGTTAACGATTTTCGATTTGACATCCATATTATATATACAAAATATAAAATAGTGATATACAATCTTATAAATAAAATCTAAAATTATTAATCAAGTTATATTAAAATATATCAAATAAAATTATATTTTATCTCATAAAAAAATAAAAATTTATGTATATTAACATAATATAACATAGCTATTTTATTTTTTTTTAAAAAAAAAAGAAATAAACTAAGTATGGACATCAAATTAGTATAAAAAAAATATTCTAAAAGTTTATGTCTCGACTTAATTAATAAAGATTACACAGAAACATTATGATCATGAAAAAAATATTAAGAAACATTATAATTAAAATTATTATTTTATTTCTTAAAGTTTAAATTTTTACACCCATACACATTATATTTTAAATTGTTTAATATTATAAAATTAAAATTATTGTAAAAAAATTAAATCTGAGAGAAAAAATTTATATATATTATAATTCTAACATTTTTAATTTACCATTAAAAATAAGATATAAATACATAATATAATTGATAAATATATAAATAAATGTAAACAATATTTAATAGTATTTTATTTTATTTAAGTTATATTATTTGTAGTCTAAAAGTTACCAGATTCATATAACTTCTAAATGAAGGACAAAAAGCATTTCAAACAACAAACGTACTATAATAATTTCATAAATAAAATCTTACTAGTACAACGTCCGTGCACTACACGTGTATTTCATAAAAAATTAATTGTCCAACAAAAAGTGAAAAAAAAATCTTATTGTGGTTTAAAAAACTATAAATAATTAATAATAATTTTCTTAATCTTATTTCGAATTCTATAAATTATTATTATGAAGTATTATTTATTTTATTTAATATATGTTTATTTTTGTCAAAATTAAATAGATTAATTAATTTATTCGACAGTTAATAACGCCCGTGAATATCACAGATGCTTGCAAGTTAAATATTTGTATCAAAATAAAGAAATGAAGAAACATATATTCTTATAGTAGAATGATAAGAAAATTAAATATACAACTAATAACTAAAAACTAACAAAAAAAATTATTTAATAATACTCTTATTCTATACTCAAATTGTTAAAATGATAATTTTCTTAATCACACACACACACACACATATATATATATATATATATAACTCAATAATTTAATTTTGAATTAATTATTTTCAAGTTTGATTATATTGTAATTATACTTTAGTAATTTTAAAGTTTATATAGGTGTAGGAGTAAAGTTTACTCTTTTTTCTTTTCCTTGTTGCTTTCTATTTTATTAAAAATTTGATTATTAAATGTCATTACTTATATACCCACATAAGATTTTATTTGTCGAAATTATTATAGTACGCTACATATTGTTTGAAATGTTTTCAGTCGTTCATTTAAAAGTTATATGAATCTCTTAGCTTGTATACTATAAATAATAAAATTTAAATAAGATAAAATGCTATTAATTGTTTCGTACATTTATATATCTATCATTATATAAAAAGAATAACCTTTTTACAAATTTAGAAACTTTTTCCCGCCAAAATCATTAAATATATTCTGTATATAGTAATTGTTAGACAAATCTGAATAGGCAAAAAAATCGGCTCATTAATTGTGTAAACATTTGTTTCTCTTTTTCCTGTTTTTTAGTTTATGAAAACCGTTGTTTGACAATAAATATTTGTTTTTCTTTTTCTTATTTTTAGTATAAATCTACACGAGTTACAAAATCCCATTGCTTATCTCTTCTGTTACAAAATCTCATTGCATACGTCTCACGTGTTTAAAAAATTTCATCCCTTATTTATAAAGATTTGAAAAAATAAAATAAAATAGAAATCAATTCATAATTACTACTAGAAATCCATTATCTTTAAAAAAAAATATAAATCAATTCATAATTACTACTAGAAATCCATTATCTACTTTAAGAAGCTAATTCATCGGTCTAATTACTAATATTTTTACAAATATTATAAGCTAACCATACAAAAAAGTATAATAATAATTTTGAAATGGTGTGTAATCAAATTTTTTTATATCCTTATACAAAACAATTTTACATTGTTTGACCCCGAATCTTTAATTTATAATTATTAAGTATTGTTTATCCTCCTCTTTAATTTATAATTATTTTTTTTCTTCCTCTTTTTAAATAGGATCAATAGTAGTTTCCACTTCCGCCATTGAATGACTCAAACTCGATGTCTATTTATAATATTGTTAATTTAATATTGTTCTCGTGCATCGCACGGGGTACACACTAGTATATATTCATCATCGTATTATGTATTTTTATATTATTTTTAATACTAAAATGTTTAAAATTTTCGTTTATAGTGGTTGATATTTTATGAAGTAACTTGCACACTTTTATATTTGCAAACATATATTATTAAATTAAGGATTTTCTTTTCAAGCAGTTATTAGATAATAGTTGAACATGAGCCTCATTTATTTCTTCTTTAAATGCCATATTGGTGTTGAAAATAGTTGTAAACTTGCAATCATTTTGTATTTAATTCTTAATATAACATGTTTTTCAAAAATATTTAAGATAAATATTCCACAAATTTATCTTATATTATTTTATTCTTAGTAAAATTTATTTAACATTCATTTATAAATATTTATTGAAATAATTAAATTTCATTTATAATTATTTATTGAAATAATTGAATTAAAATTTTTATATATTAAATTTTTTATTTATTAATATTATTTTCAGATTCTTTAATGTCTTTATGATTTTCTCAATAAAATTCGAGAGTTCAAAATATTTGAACTTTTTCATTCAATAATTAACTAAAATATATCATGATACTTAAATTATTATTACTTTATTTGAGTCACTGATTTTCAAGATGGGCGCTAGATAAACAATGAGATTTAAAAAAAATATATATTAAATATTGTGTTTATTAATATTATTTTAAGATTGTTAAGTACATTTATGATTTTCTCAATAAATTTTGAAAGTTTATTTAGCCTTAGCCATAACTATTTAATAATGTTTTTTCTGCTCATTGTTGAAGAATAAAAAAAGTACTTTTATCTTGAATTTTTGAAGTATTACGGTTGATGCAAAAAGTTGGACAATAAAAGCAATAAAGAAGTCATTAGGTACATATATATTGCCAATCCGGACGAATGTGAATGATATTAGGATATACAACTTTAAAATCACTGTAACGACTATGATGGTAAATGATTTGCAAACAATAGATTACGTATTCTGTCTACCTTCCAAATAAATAAAATTGGTAAGGGAATGTCGAAGCTTGTTCAAAACATTATTAAATGTTTGAATGAAGTTGTCACTTTTTGATAACAATATATACAATCTCGTTAGTGTATTGTGCTCAAACATATGTGCAATTATTTTAGAGTACGTGCTTTCATTTAATGTGTGATATTTCAATAAATAATTTAGCGCATCGGGAGAAGTATATGTAACCTAAATTTTGGAAATTCAACTTTTATTTGGAGACGAAATTCGTTCTCACCGCATGGGGTGATGCCTCCATAGAGTAAGTACCAATTTGTCTATATAAAGAGAGTAATGTAGTAGTTTATACAAGGATAAAAGAATATATGAATACCATCAATTTTAATGACACGGCTGGTTATTTTATTGAGATATTCATAAAGTGTTAGTAGAAGTACCATATATCATACAATCATGAAGTTTGACTATAAGTTTGGTCAGAATATCTCTAAGTATTTGAATAAAGTCGACATTTTGCCAAATGAAATAAAAAGAAATTTGCGATACTATTGACGTATTGGGCTCAAATGAGTATAGATGTTTTTTAAGAGAATGTCAAAATGAAAATGAACGACAATCACTTTCAGTCATTTAACATGAATGATATTATTATATTATTTTTTTAAAAAAAAAATATATTAAAAGTTTATTTGTTCAGATCGTTGCTACTTAATCTTAAAGCATGGGTATATACAGACGCTTTATAAAGAATTTTAGTTTCCTAGGTCTCTTTCACTTAATAATCATCTTTTACAATTCCGTCATTATTGATATATCAAATACAAGGTCGTTTTACTCCGTGCACTTTTTTACAAAATTATTACTTACAATGATCATTTCTTACAAAATTGTTTCAATCGATGAAAGATGGTACAAACGCCCGTGAATGTGGACTATAGCGTGTCTACAAACTTGAAATAATAGTAATGAATCATAATAGTGATGAGTAAAAATTACTAATATTTACATAATTAGATATTTTCTTACAATTTAATAGCATGTTTGAATGATAATATTTGTTGAGCATGCGAAAATATAATTATATATTTGTTGTTAGTTGTTACCTCCAAGTGGTAGGAAGATATAGTTTTCCAGGTTCCTAAAACAGGTCAGGAGTACCATCAATCAAACCTCTTTTCGTATATTTTCTTTCGTAGATGTCAAGACAATTTTCAGTATTGGTAGTTACTATTTTAAAATTCAGGTATCTTTACTCAAGGAGAATTCATATGGACGTCAAGATGTGTGTTATATTATTTATATTCAATCTCCTTCCAATATTCCATCAATCTACTCTCCTCTCTACCTTCATTTCAATCCTCTTCTCTGTTTATTCCTTGAAATTTCTATCTGGCCTTGTCCTCTAATTTTTGTCTACCTCAGGCATGGCAATTAATATATAATAAATTTTGAGTTGAAATTTCAACCTGGTTTTCTTACTGTTGGTTCCTCTACCGGAATTTTGATTGTTTTCATATGCAGCTTTGTTGGAATCAGAATTATCAGTAAACAAAGTGTTTATGAATCAGACTGATGGAGAGCAGACAGCACCGATCAGTGTGAGTTTATTTTTATTATTTGACATGTCCTCTTCAGTTTCCATGTTCAGAAGAAGGCCTCCTGTTCTCTCATTTAATTTAAGACAAAATCATCATCATCATTATATTAATATGCATTTTACAGAGACGACACCTGCAGAAGAAAGCTCCAGAGGATGAGAGTGAAGAGCAATCCTTTGAAATGTTTGCTGAACAAGGCCAATAGATTCAAATTCCACTCACTGAAACTGCTTCTAATCGTCATCCTAGCAGCCACTTTTATCACCATCTTCTCTTTCCCGTCCGCTTGCCCTCGAAGCAGCAGTGTTTCTCGGTAATTTTCCTTTCAACATTTTTCTCAGCATCCCTAGGCTTTGTTTGTTAGTTTAGAATGAAGGTGTGTTAATGTTAAATCAATGCAGACGGGTTTTCGTGAGACGGTGGTTATGGGGAGGACCGGATCCACGTTACGTCTCGGATCTCGTCATAAACTGGGACGAAATCACGAACGCCCTCAACAAGCTGCCCGACAGAATCGAATCCATCGGCCTCGTTAATTTCGACGAGCGCGAAATCCAGCAGTGGAAGCAACTGCAGGTGGCGAATGACTCGAAAACAGTTTCCCTACATCTGGACTCCGCCCAAAGCAACCTCACTTGGGAGTCGCTTTACCCTGAGTGGATAGACGAAGAGCAAGAGGAGGTGGTCCCCACGTGCCCTTCACTCCCACATATTGAGATCCCAAGGCAGCGGTTCGACCTCATTGCCGTCAAGCTTCCTTGTCGTGGCCGGGAGTGGTCGAGGGACGTTGCCCGTCTTCACCTACAGATATCAGCAGCTCGTCTGGCGGCAGCCACCACGCGCCAACTGCATCTGCTTTTCCTCACTAACTGCTTCCCGATGCCTAACTTGTTCCCGTGCAGGGATTTGGTCATGCGCCAGGGTGACGTGTGGCTCTACAGACCGCGCTTGGACGCGTTGAGAGAGAAGCTTCGGCTCCCAGTAGGGTCCTGCGAGCTCGCTCTCCCCCTCGGATCTGTAGGTAATAAGTTTAGATTTTTTTTTTTTTTTAATTGAGAAGGAGAACAATGTGTAAATGTTAATATGAAAATAGGAGATAGATATCACGAGTACTGGGGAAGAGAAAGGGTGCGGCGGGAGGCGTATGCCACGATCCTCCACTCGGCGCACGACTACGTGTGCGGGGCGATCGCAGCAGCGCAGAGCATCCGCATGTCGGGGTCCACCAGGGACCTCGTCATACTGGTGGACGAGACAATCAGCGGCTACCACAGGAGCGGGCTCGAGATGGCCGGCTGGAAAGTCCGCACCATAGCCCGCATCCGAAACCCCAGGGCCGAGAAGGACGCGTACAACGAGTGGAACTATAGTAAGTTCCGGCTCTGGCAGCTGACGGACTACGACCGAATCATCTTCATCGACGCCGACCTCCTAATCCTCCGCAACATCGACTTCCTCTTCGGGATGCCGCAGATATCTGCCACCGGCAACAACGGCACCCTATTCAACTCCGGCGTCATGGTGATCGAGCCCTCCAACTGCACCTTTCGGCTCCTGATGGACCACATAAACGAGATCGAGTCGTACAACGGCGGGGACCAGGGCTACTTGAACGAGATATTCACTTGGTGGCATCGACTGCCCAAGCACGTGAACTTCCTTAAGAACTTCTGGGCCGGAGATGATGACATCGTCCGCCGAAAGAAGGTTGCTCTCTTTAAGGCCGACCCGCCGATTCTGTATGTCCTTCACTACTTGGGGAACAAGCCGTGGATGTGCTTCAGGGACTATGATTGTAACTGGAATGTGGACATATTGCGGGAGTTTGCTAGTGACGAGGCTCACGCCAAGTGGTGGAGGGTGCACGATGCCATGCCTGATAAGCTAAAGGAGTTTTGTCTATTGGCGTCCAAGCAGAAGGCCCAACTGGAGTGGGACAGGAGACAGGCGGAGAAAGGGAACTACTCGGACGGGCACTGGAGGATTAAGGTGAGAGACGAGAGGGTCAACAAGTGCATTGACCAGTACTGCAATTGGCGGGGTATGTTGAGGCATTGGGGCGAGACGAACTGGACGGATAGTGAGTTACCAGTTTCTACTCCACCGGCATTGAGCAAGAGCTGAATTGGGTAGGTTTCTGATTGGTATAAGAGTTGTTGAATGTTGGAGTCTCTGTATGTAGATAGAGATTTTGCTTTGAGCACTTTGGTTTTGTGGATATGTTACTTTTGGTCCTTCCTTTTTGTTATGTTTCATTATTTTCCTTTTTTTTATTCTTTGGATGGTGACTCAAGGACTCGGGATTGAGGGACTTCATTCAATTACAATCTTGAACATATTTGCTTTTCCTCTCATCATCTCGGAGAAAACTTCTCCAGGAAAAAAGAAAAAAGAATGTCACTATGCTTATACTTTTATCGGTTTTGTAGTTTCCAATAACTGAAATTTCTCTTCTTCAGCTTAATGGGAAACAAGGGGTACTTTCAAAAATCATACGACATCCACAACTTGCTCCCATTTGTTTACTCCCAAATCAACTGCATCAGTAAAGAATTAGTTTCTACATGTAACAACAATTAATTATTGCATTCTGCCAATGTTGGTATCTAAGTTGAAAGATAAAAACATAAGAATTTTCTTAATATTTGCAAAAGCAAGCCTAATCATAAAACTACTGGTCTTATACTCAGCACAGCAGCAAATACATGTTTAACTATGGGAAGAAAAAATTAGATGTTGGTTAACTATCTACTATTCGCGAGTCAAGTTTGGCACCAGAAGTAGACAAACAATATCATCACTCAGCTATGATCTCAAGAAGATGCTGTGACCCATCTATTGCCCTGAATGAAATTTTCCAAGGTGTATGAATTCACATGCTCGGCCGGTATCTGGCTACTCCAGCCTACTCGGCCGGACACATTAGATCCAGGGCCCGTATTCCCAAATTCACCAAAATAGAGGGTGCCGAGTGCAAATTCACCATCCCAGGGCATCCACCCATCAGGCGCAATAAGAGCCTCCAACGTGCAGTTAATGAAAAGCGTCCTCGAATACTCTTTCCACGGCCTGCCCAAGAAATTCTTGTGCACGTCGGGTTTCGCACGATACAGACGCATGTATTCATCAGTTCCGTTTATCACGCAATTCCGGAAGACAAAACCTGTAGACTGGCCAGGATCTATTCTGGCGTGGGCAGTGACTACATTATTCTCGCCCTTTTCTGGATCGACTTGCCGAGGGGCGACTAATATGAGGCAGTCCTCGAAAAAAGAGGCTGAGTGTCCGAATATGAAATCAATGTTCCCTAGGATGCGGCACGATTTGTAGTACTGCCGCAGGCTGTGGGCATAAAGGGTGTCTTGATTGCCAATGAATTCGCAGTTTTGGATGATGGATAGATCGCTGTCTGACCGGAAAGCTACTGCTTGATGAGCTTCCGGGCCTGCTGTGTTCTGTATTGTGAGACCGCTTGCCATGAATCCATCACCAAGAACACCTGTTACCACATGAATAAAATATTAAAATTATTTTTTTGGCTAAATTGCAAAATATAGCTAATATCTTTGTAAGTGGTGGCAATAATAGCCACCATCTTTACCAATTGACAATAATGACCAACAACCTTTAAAATTTCGAGATTATTACCCAAATCTAACCAAAGTTGACAGATAAAGAAACTGACCGACAGTGGCGGTATTGTAAGTGGTAAGGCCGTGGTGGCCCACGCTGGCATTAGCTGTAATGACGGTATTACCCATGCCTTGGCCGAGAAGGACAACATTCTTCTTCTCCAAGGGGACCCTAACCGTCTCCTCGTACATCCCAGCTTTAATCCCTATCACAAACCGCCAATCACTATTATTGGGAGCCGAATCCACGGCCTCCTGCACCGTCCCATAATCGCACTGCCCGCCTTCGCGGCACACGCTCACGTTCGGTCTAGAGAAATCAGAAGGAAAAAAAGAAGAAGAATAATAAGAAGAAGAAGAAGACACAAGTGGCTCCCAGAAGCCTTCACGCTCGGTCCTTGGTGGGGCCCACAACTCCGTCTTTTCCCCAAAGGCCGAATAGCTGGCCAGCATACCGAGCACGTCCGCCGTGGACGGGATAAGGGACGAGTTGAGAAAGCCGGAAGCCTCAGTCTCGTTAACGTTCTTGAGGCCAGCCAGGCAGCCGTACTCGTACGCGAGGGCCCCGCTGGCCCACGCACGCGCGTCCCCCAAGGCTGGTGATGTGTACGCCAGCGCCTCACCCGTGAGGTTCATCCGGTGACGGGCGTACCCAAGGATCTCGAGGCACGTGCGGGCAGCGTCCGAGCGGTTCAGATCTGCTAGGACGTGGTGCACCATACCGACGGCGGTGTCCAGATTTTGGGAGGAGATGGCGACGGCGGATTGGACGGCGAGAAGGACGGTGGGGGAATTTGTTGTTAGGGAGGCCTGGCAGGCGGTGGGGTTGCGGGAGGCGCGGCAGACCTCGCGGTGGGCGGTGGAGGGGTGGCGGTGGCGGGTGGAGGCGGAGGAAGTGATGAAGAAGATGAGGAGGAGAGAGAGGAGGACGGTCATGGAGATGAATACGAGCTTGGATTTCGGGAATTGGCGGGGGTTGGTGGTGGCGGTGGTGGTGGAGGAGGATAATATGGGTGATGTTGGGGATTCGGTGGGTCTCATTGAATTCGATTTTGTTCACGTGATTGTAATAAATAATGTTGGCTGGCAAATGCGTACATACGTAGATTCGTGTGTGTGCGTGTGAGGGAAGATTAGAGGAATAATGATAATAATTAAATGCTGCCNATCCAGATGGATATTTTTTAGGTATAGATCTCATGTTTAAAATAAAAATTGAAGTGAAAAATAATATTAGACAAACAAATAAAAAAGAGTTTGAGAATCAAACAATGAAATAATAAAACACCAAAATTATAAAATATAATTAAAAAACAATATAACTTGATTTATGCCTTGGATAATGATCTTCAAACCCAAAAAACCCTAATAATTATAGTAGGTCTCTTGGTTGGGTGTTTCACTCTCGCGAATAAATAGAAAAATGAACTGAAGATTAAAAAGAAAGACTGAATCCCCAAAGCCGCGCTCAAAATATTTTAATCTGCTCCGCTCTCAAAATTAAATTTTTATCTGCTCTGTTGTAAAAATTTTTCTGCCCGTTAGAGAGAGTAGAACTTGCAAATAAAATGTGTGGAAATGTGTTATTAGATGAGGATAAATTTGAGGGGAAATTATTTTAATATTCTCTCTTCCCACTTGCCATTTCCCATTCCCGTTATTGCTTCCAATTGTAAAAGATAAATTTACTTTAATTTTCTTTTATTTTATTTCATATATTTATTATTTTATATGTGTTTTGGGCTTGGGCCAATAAACTTTAACTTTTTGTGGGCTTTTTAATTGGTAGAAATATTTACTAACAAAAATTCATATACACATATATATATATATACACACATATAGATATAAATTTGGGGCCCCAAAAATTTTGGGGCTCATGGCCAATGTCCACTTTGACCTTTGTCAGGGCCGGCTCTGCAAGCAATCAAGGCTACCAAAGAAACACAAAACTAAAAAGACAAAGAAAACAAACACACACCAAAAGTCTCCTTCAGGTTTACAATATCATTACAAACATAATATAATGAAGATTTTGGTCTCCTTCAGGTTTACAATATCATTACAAACATAATATAATGAAGAATGGAAAGCAAGCAAATTGTAGTCTTTGCACAACACCTTGGTCAGCCTCATAACACTCTATTTCCTTCCACCTAGCCTTGGTAGCTTCTATTAAGGCCCAACAGACTTGTTTTCTCTTGATTTGCAGCTCAGTCCCAATTGTCCTGCCAAACCTGCAACTCATGACTACTCCATCAGAAGAGAGAAGGGCACTGACTTGTACAGACACACGTCCTACCCAGTTGGAAGATTTCCCCTATAATGTTTAAGGTTCCTCAACAATTTGAATCAAAGTTCTATGACTTACCTTGAAGAGATCACCTATTTCAGCTCAGTCAGCTCTAGCCCCTTGCACCACCTCCACTTCTCTGAAGCTCTTCCCTCTGAACAATAAGCTCTTTCTAGCTTTCTATAATCTCTACAACAGGCATACTGATAAAGATATTCTATCTTGTAATCTCTTTACTCTCAGACTTCCACACACATCCTCCCACCAATCATTAAAACTTTTTTATCTTACCTGAAAAGCATCCCACTCCACCCCAAGCAGTTTCCAACAGATACTAACTTTAACACATCTATAAAATAAATGCTCCACATCTTAAGGTTCTTCTCCACGCAGACTAGACAAAGTATCTACTTCAACTCCTCTATTCCTCAATTAGACTTTTGTGCTCCGAAAACCATGGTAGACTCTCCACATAAATTTTTTTATCTTTGGCTGCACATGGAGTTTCCAGGTTCTAAGCCACATCTTCCTTTGATCTCCACCTCTTAAGCTGGTATTGGCTTCTGTTGGGTAACCGATTAAGAGCCCCAATAAGCAGATTTAATACTGAAAGTACCCTTGGGATTAAAGTGCCATATTAGTTTATCCTTATTCATCAACTGGCTCATATGGATCTTAAGAATGGATTCAACTTCAAAAGGGCTGAAAGTATTTGCTCTATAACTCTCAATCTCATCTCTTCCCTATATCCTAACATGATCACTCACTCTCACCAGCCTCAAAATATCCCGCTCAGACTGACAAGAGAGAATGAAAGAGGTTAAGTTGGGAATCCAAGGTGATTCCCAAATATTAATTGAAGCCCCATCACCCACTTGGTATCTCACACCACTCCTTAAAGAGTCTCTTATTACCCCTAAAAGACTCTTCCAAAGCAAAAAATCCATCCCTTTCCTAATCTCAAACAGGCTAGCCTTGAAAAGATATCTACCCTTAGTGATCTTGCTAAGAATGATTTTGTTGAGTGATAATACTCCAAAGTTGCTTGACAAGTAGAGCTTCATGGAAAGCTACGAAGTTCTTAAACCCCAAACCCCCTTCAGTCTTAGGTCTAGCTAGTTTATCCCAAGAGGCCCTGTGGATTTTCTCCTCTCCTCTCTCATTCTTTACTCACCAGAAATCAGCTACAGCTTTACAAATGTCTTTACAGACTGAAATTGGAATTTTGAAACAGCCCATAACATATACAGAAATGGCATTAAGAACAGTTCTAATTAAAACCTCATTTCCTGCCTCACAAAAAAAAAAGGAATTCTTTTCAATTATTTATTCTTTTCAACACACACTCATGCGCAAACCTACAAGTCTCTCTCTTGGATTTTCCAACCCCTCAAGAAAGCACATATAGTTACCAGAATTAACACAAGAGATACCTGTTGTCGTATGGATTTGTAACAACATAATTAACGTAGACTTACGTGATTCAAAACATAAAATAGCTGTAATTCGGGATTTTTATTAATTGATATGTGGTCGGTGTTCGTGTAACCGAAGTGAAATTATACAGAGTAATTCTCAACAGAGTCCCCCATTGCTGAGGGAATTTGAGGCTATACATAGTAACTTTTTCATTACATGTTGTTCGAGACTTCTCAATAATTCGGGATTATGTGAAAAGTAGCTTTAGCTGGGCGGTTATGACAGTTGGGCCCACGATTATCATGACATTACGCACGAAACGCAAGAACGTCGCGTAGGCGTCTCGTCATATGCTTCGGTATTGGTGAACTCGGTTATGTCCGAGCTTTGTTGTCACGTTGGTGGAGGGGACTTCGGGAAGTCGGCGACAACCGAAGTCGTTTGTCACGTCGGTTCTGGCGGTTCGTCATGTCGGTAATAAAGAAGCGTGGTTTCGGAGTTGCATGATGTTTACAGAAGGAACATCCTTGGGACTGTTAGACGGCATAAGATTATCTTGAAATCAACGTCATTATGACTGTTTCGTCCTTAATTCGGTTTGTCTTTTGAATAGACAATAAATTACCAAGTCGGTGGTCAACAATTCCAATAAGAACCTGACAGACATTAAGCACACAAGAAGGATCAGAATTTTTTGAAAAGAAGACAGAGGACTTTTGAAGGTTAACCTTCTGACCAGAAGCTAAGCTACAATCCTTTAAGATTTTCATGATGATGTGAGTCTGATCACCTTAGGCTTTGCAAAAAAGAATCGCATTATCTGGAAAGAACAAATTTGTCACGATAGGAAAATTTTTACTAAGTTTAAGACCACTAAGAGAACCAAGGATCCTAATCTGTTTTAACTGGTTAGAAAGGGCTTCGGAAATCAGAATGAAGAGATAGGGAGATAAAGGATCTCCCTACCTTATGCCTCTTTAGGGAATCACATAACCAAGAATTTGCCCATTGATATTAAAGGAAAAAAGAAGAACACACACAGGACATTAACCAAGCAACAAACTTTTCATCAAAATCCATTTTCAAACAAATAGCAGCCAAAAAGTTCTATTCTAACATAACACAGGCTTGTAATAATATTTTATATTATTATATTATTATGGACCATATAATTAATTGGACCTAATTGAAATAATAATCAAACTTAATTAAAGTCAATATGTATTTAATGGATTATTAATGTTCTAATATTAAAGAGTCCAATTTGTGATGTTTGACTTGGACAATAAGTTATGTTAGAACATGTGGAATGTTAGTAGGATTATGATTTTAAGTCTCCTTCTATATATACTACTACTACTACTACTACATGCCCCTCTCTCGGCTCATACATAATAAAGTTCTCAACATCAAGGGCAACACGATCTCACATACAAGAAAACAGGGAATGACTAATATTGGATTCTTGTAAGTTCTATGTGCAATTTAATTAATGTAAAGATCCATATTCTATGAATTGATAAAATTATATGCTTAGGGTTTATTCAATTCCGCCTAATAGTGAGAAGCAATGGGAGAAAGGAAGGAAAACCTAGAAGAAGGGAACTTCGCAAGCAATAGAGAAATGGAAAGACTAAGAACAAAATCTGAAACCGATTGGGTTGCTACCTAAGAAAGGAGAATAAGACTGCACGTTAAGAAACTGGAGCTTCAACGGGGAAGAAATCAAGCTCTCATAGAGAGAGAATTCTAACACGTTAAAATTAGTTGAATAGTTATAAAACTTATTAGGGACCGTCTACGGTCAGGTACCCCTCGTACCTACCTAACATCAGGTATCCCCTTATATCACCATTAAATTGACTAAAAAATCAATCTCAACCATTAGATTCAAGGTACGAGGTTGGTACGAAGCAACCACAATTCTTTTTGCCTCGTACCAACCTCGTACCCCCTCCTATTTACAAAAAACCTAGAATACCCTTATGTCATTAAAAATTAAAATAAATTATAAAATAGTAATTGTATTTATTTTGAAGCCCTTACATCTATATTATTTATATAACAATCCTTCATATACAAAAATATATAATCACAATCTTAACACTTAATTAGCGAATTAAATTATTGTTCATGTTCTTCAACCCCTAACTTGTAACTATAGTTCGACCTCCCCGACCGATTGCCAGAGCAAAAAATAAGAGAAACCCTCAAATCGTCGTTCTCCCTGATAAATCTCACTGCCGGGATAGCAATTTCGGGCCCGACATCGGGATTTCGAAGGCCTCCAAGGACGCGTTGGAAATCGGCAAGAAGCTCTAGCGGTGGTGGAGACTTCGGGAGGGAAGAGCCGGCAGCAGCGGAAGAAGGTGGAGGTTCACAACGAGGTTTTGCGGCGGCTGAAGGAGGTCGAGCATCCGGAGGCGCAGGAGCCGTCTTCCGACGATCAGCTTTGGGCCCATTTCAATCGCCTTCCTACCAGGTTGCCTTAGCTGGTCTTTTATGCCCCAAATCATGTTATAAATTCATTGCATCTATCTACTTTGTGCTGGTCTTTTAAGGCTTGATTTGCCTTTCTATCTTGCATTCGGAAATGGAGTGGGATTTTTTTAATCGTTTTTTGTTCTCTCAATCCATGGATTAGGATGTTGGGATTTTGTGATTGGTTATTTTTTAGGAACTTCGTCATCCCATTTGTTCAATTAATGGTGGGTTCATTGTGTTGTTCTATTGTAATTGTAATCAATTTTCATGTGAATGGCAAAATTAAAATTATGGGTCGTTTTATGGGGTACTGCATGCTAGGAATATTCTGTTACTTTTTCTGCACACAAGTGATCCTCGTGCAAGTTGGTGGACAATTTTTTCCGAGGTTTATGGTTTTGATGATTCTGAATTGAAGGTATGGAATGGATGCGAATGTTGAGAGGGCAGAAGATGTTCTCACCCACAAACGTTTACTGCATCTGGCCGTGTGATACTGCTAATGGACCAGCTTTTGAAGTTCGATTAGTGCCGGTGACTTGTTTTTATACTGCTTTCACCACAATTCATGTATGTTAAGCGCACTGATAAGTAGGCGTATTGTCATTTTTATAAAATAAGTGGGTCTTCTTTACACCTTACTATTATTTTTTATTAATTGTGTATTTCAGGCGCGGGGCACTTTCGTAGGACAAAGACTCACTTTCGTAGGACAAAGACTCAGTAGTGAGAAGAAAGAATACAGCATCTCGCCAATTAGGCTTGGTAATCAAAGTGAAACTGCAAGCAAAGAAAAGCAAAAGTAGAGTCTTCAAGCAGAAACGAGGCCCCTGGGGAAAGTGTGAAACAAGTCTTCCATGAAATATTGATATGTCCAGGCCTGTAGCTATTTGGTTTCATATAGTGATGAAAGTGAGGATGATGTATGGCATGTGTAACTTGTTTTGATTTTCTAATCTATAATTGGTGGTTTGTAGAGATTATATTACATGCAAGCAGTGATGAGATTGTTTTGAATATTTGTGAACGGTTTTATTGTTTTGAAGCGTGTATACATATACAGGCAGTTGCTCGATTTTTGTTATAAGAAAGTGATTTAAGGTGTGGACATGTGAAAGGCGTGGAAAGCAAAGAAGCATAAAATCAATCAATCTGCATAACTCATTTGAAACCATTTAGCTTGTCGTTATAAGATCAATCCTTAGCTCTTAATTTGAGTTAGAATTATTGTGCTATGTCATTTGAAACCATTTGCAGAAATCCCTCCTGAATCCAATTCAACCTTAACTTGGTTGCTTGTTTTATTTTTTTGAAGATTTACATAGGAACATAAACATATATAAAATCCGCTCATATCCTCTTTCCTCCCTCAAATCACTTATTCTCAATGACGATTGCTTCTTGCCTTTACTTCAAAATTTCATGTTAATGACTTAGGCCCGAGATTCAAGCGAAATAGTAGCCGAAGAACCATAGAGCAATGAACAAATTCACTGTCAAGACTTAATTTTGAATATAACACTCGGCAAGCCAATAGTCGAGGGACCCTCGGATGAATGTGTGATGATAAACACTTCCCATTCGCCTTTACCCACTCCGAAGAGAGTAAATTTCTCCCCACTGCCCAGATTGTGAGTACAAACTCGTGAGAGAATATTAAATCCAAGAGGGGCTCTGTGTGAACACGATGGGCCATAGAAGTAGAAACCATGGTAGCAACAGAAGCTCCAATGAATCCTTCCCATGTTTTATTTGGCGACAACTTGATAAGATGTGTTTTGCTGAAGAAAAACCCAAAAATATAAGAAGCAATATCATTTATGACAATGAGTGATGCTAGGAGAAGGAACCTGCATTACTGCTTACTTGAGTTTGAAGTTTGCTCATCCAAGTTCAATGTATACTGCAAATATCCAATTTACCCACCAACATAAGAGAAACAGATTTAAAATACATCTGAAATAAACTCTATCACGAATGTTCTCTTAAATGAGTCCAAAAAGTCTCAGATGCTCATAAAATGGATTTAAAACTTTCAAAATCTTCACTCATGTCATAAGAAATTGATCAAGGAAGTGAAGAAGCAGCAGCTAATGTCCAAAGTAACTAATAGGCTAAAATGATAATTTGAAGCCGCATTACCAGAATAATAAGTTGTCAAGACTTTCCACAATACCAGCCTAGAAAAACGAAAAACAAATGCAAATTAGACTTGGGAATAGAGATACAACAAGAATGACATCTTTATCTTTGCTACAACCTTGGAAGTCGGTTGTCCTTTCGCATCTCGGCTAGTACCAGACTGCTGTAAATGTTCTATCTACTCCACATTGCTTAATGCAATACCATGGATTCAATGTAATAAATTTCTTCAAACCTACCAATGGGCATGAAACTCAACTAGGACGTCCTTTTTTTCGTCGAGCACGGCCTCATCGAAGTCCTCTGGAGACAAGACCACAAAGTTTGAAGGGAATGGAAAATAGGAATAAATAAGACTTGATATTATCAGATCGGGCTTACCCATGCTGATGGGGAGATCTTGCAATCTTCACGTCCCTAAAGACGAATTCGGCAAGGGCTTCGGCAGTCCTTCCACCTTCATATCTAATATATTAATAACACAATCTTAGGGATTTACTTGGCCTAAGAATAGCATGAATATCAAGGATACAGTGCAACTTAGCATCAACAATTGGATTAAGGAACTACTTAATGGTGGGGTATCCAGAAACATCGTACTTACTACAGGACTCTTTTGGTCATCACAATAAACCTACAATTAAAAAAAAAAAATGAAACCATAAACATTATTTTGTCATCTGAATACATTTGTTACATTCTAAACAACTAATTAAATAGCTTTTTATCAGAATTTCAATTTGATAAAGCAAATATAGTTTTAACAAAATAACTATATCTCAAAAACATAATCACATTACACATAAAACATTAAAACTTCCACTGCTCGTACGCCTCCTTGGCCTGCTTCCGGGAGTCCGGGTCTTCGAGAACCCGAAAGAGAATCTCGAGCATGTCCCTGACGTATCTGAAACTCGCCAGTGAGTCGATGTTGCGGGCTAAGGTTTTAGGGTGATTCTTGTGCAGCCAGAGCATCGTCTTCTCTGTCCGATTTCCTGAAAATCTTTTGAGTTTATTAATGAACTATGGAATTCGATGAAGTTGGGGGTGAAATTGTGAGATATCCCTAATTTTGAAAAGGATATTGCCGCTTAATATTTTGCTCTCAACAAAAGGCTCTCGTTTCAATTATTTTGATTGCCAAAAGTGAATAACTAATACATTAGGGAACAAATTTCAATAATTATACAATTATAGAAGAACTAAACTCATATGCCAACTGCCAAATGCACACTAATAATAATAATAATAATAATAATAATAATAATATAGACTTAAAATACTATCATTGATAATTATAAAATAAAATGAATGAGTATATAAATATGTACATGATTAGTAAAATAGAATCATAAAATATCATCAAAATAAAATGAGAAATAGATATAACAAGAATTATTACAATTTTATGTTCTACTTGATTATTTGACCTTTTACCTATCTACATTTGAAAATGTTGAGTGAAAGATAAAAAAGTGTTATGAAAATTGATATTAATAAGATTGTATACATAACAATAAAATGGTGAACTAAGGAAATGATAAGATAAACAATCAAACATATTCAAATACTAGTTCATGATATTATTAAATTGTTAAATTTGTCATAAAGTTTAAATAATTAGTAGGAAATGTATTTGATTATGAAAATTGATCATAATACCTATTAGAAATATAAATTGCGTATATTGGAAAAATGAAAACTAATGACGCTAAAAAGTGATTTTTGCAAGCAGTATCATTTACTTTATAATTTATTTAAATAATTATCTTCTAGTAAATTGAGCTCTTGAAAAGGCTCGAGCTTGTCCTAAATGCTTATTTAGGTGACAATTAAGAATATTCATTGATATTTTTGTTTATTACAGTGTTTTATAAAAAATAATAGTAGTATATTAACTAGTTGATAAGTTGCTATAAGCTTAAAATTGGCTTATCAACTAGTATCAATTGACTCTATAGTTTCTAGTTAAATAGACCACAAATTACCATAAATATTTGTTGAATCGGCGGACTGGTCAATCATATATGCAGCTACTCGAAACAAAATGAACCTTGTATACATTAAAAAATAAAATAAAATTAAAGGGTTTTGGCACGGAACCCTTTAATTTTTTAGTTATTATAAAATATTATAAATGTATAAGATCATTTGATATTTGCATAAAATTAGGAAAGTAAACGGGTCGGGGGCGGGGGCGGGTTTTGGCAAACCCGAATCCGACTCACATATAATTTACCCTACTCAAACCGACCCGTTATCCGACTAGTGATCTTCGGGTTCGGGTTGAGTTTTATCTAACGGGTTAGTGGGTTTTCGTCTGGTAAATGGGTAACTCGAGTTCTTAAATTTGGGCTTACCCAATCTCGACCTGATCCAACCCGCTTCATGTGAAAAAATAAAATAAAATAGTTTAACAATTAATTATAATGTAACAAATAATTTATTAACTAAGTGTGACAATAAAAAATTATAAAAATATTATATTATTTTTGAAATAAATAATGAGTATAATTATTTATCGTTGATAGTATACTTAATAATATAACATTTAAAAAGTAAGTATTGAAATTTTTTATTGTACAATTCACAAAAATTGATAAAAAAATCATAAAAAATAAAATATAATTTAACCATTCACCAAATTATAATAAATAATTTAATTTTTAATATTAATAACACATGACTATTTTTATATTTATAATAAGCAACACACACACACACACACACACACACACATATATATATATATATATATATATATATATATTAAAAGATTCAATGCTTGTGGGTAAACAGGTAGGGTAATCGGGTTGGGTAACAATTTTTTTACTATACTCGCACTTGACCGACCCGACCCAACCGACCCGGAGTTTGGGTAGCATAATAAAAAATTTCATGTACTTATAAATTGTTGATTATCATAGTCTTATAAATTTTTCAAAAAATCATCATTTGCACATTGCTCGATAATTATCGTATTAATTTATTGACATAATTTAAAAAAATATTGTAAAAATTGATTTCATTAAATATATTATCAAACCCCGACCGCCTACAGGCGGCCAGCCACGTCCGCCGCCCACAAGACGACGACAACCTACCTGCAACAATAAAGGATGAAATCCACGCAGGTTAGAAGACGACAGACATAGAGAGAGGAAAAAAAATCATTCTTCTGACATTTATACAAAGAAATTTGCTGCGAAATCAAAAACCAATGAGACTAATATAATTAAATCCTGAAAAATCATCTGTGTCTGTTTATTTTTGCAATGGCTGAATTTATCAACTCATGCATGGCAAGAGCCATTTAGTTTCGTGATGATGGCAAAATATTAGTAGTTGAATAGCACAAGCTTTCATGAAAGTATGACGTTAGATAAACGATACATAGGATTCAGCAACTTCCTCGGCTCAACTAAGAAGTCATCAAATTATACAAACTTATGAGCGTCCATATACAAAATACAGAATATGAAAATGGTCCCTTTATATGGACGATCTCACCCAAGACGAAAAATTCATAATTTCACGCCATATAAGTTACATAGAGCCCCATACAAAGACGAACAGAATGATAACCAAATCATGAAACAGGCTAATCACCATCAAGAACGCTCATCCGCCCCTTAATCTGTCAAGAAAATCAGATAAAAATTTCAAAACCCAGCTACTGGTACACATCAGTTAAAATCCATCCAAGAAAAAACTAAAACATAAATCGCCCTATCAATAGAAACAGGGTCCCCAATCTGAATTGCCTATGCAAATGTTGGTTCAGCCTTCACGGCCTTAAAGTCCTTCCAACCAGATTTGTAATGCAAGTAAAGAGGATTAGCATTCGCGGCCTGAGCACACACGAGCCTTGGAATCCTATGCACGAGCACGAGTTCCTTGCACATACGGAAGCCTTTGTAGAAGGCATATATGTTTCCAAGGTTTCCACCGGGGACAATCACCCAGTCAGGCACCTGCCAGTCAAACTGCTGCAGAATTTCAATGGGGGCGGTTTTCTGGCCCTCGAGCCTCAAGCTGGTCAATGAATTGGCCAGGTAAATATGCAGCTCAACCGTGACCTCACGAATCAACTGCATACAACCATCGAAATCAGTATTGATGCTCAGATCAAATGCACCGTTTGCAATTGGCTAAACAAGCTGGGCAATTGAGATCCTATTTGCTGGCAGGAAAATGATGGATGGGATTCTAGCGGAAGCACAGCACGCGGATAGGGCGGCAGACGTGTCACCCGTGGAGGCACAGCCCACGCCGACAAACGGGCGGTTCATTTTACGCAGCCTATTGACCTGGCTGACCAAGACGTTCATGCCCAGGTCCTTGAAGCTGCCCGTGTGACTAATCCCGCAGTGTTTGACCCACAAATCACTCATGCCCAGGAACTGTTTGCCAAAATGCTCGGCCCAGAAGAGGTTGGAATTCGAGGTTTGACCCACAAATCGCTCATGCCCAGGAACTGTTTGCCAAAATGCTCGGCCCAGACGAGGTTGGAATTCCCCTCGAAGGCGCTCACGATGTCGTCGCCGTCGATCTCAGGCGGAGAAGCCGTAAGAGGATGCATGGCGGCGGGCCTCGTCGCGGATGTTCTCGTCCACAGGGGGCGATGCTTGAGCGTGGCGGCGGCGGCGGAAGGGAGATCGGAGGAGGAGGATGTGGCGGTGGCGCGGACGGTGAGGGCGGCGCACAGGGATGGGGCTGGCCTGCGGCGGGAGTCTGGTGGAGAGGAAGGAAGATCTTAAGATTGGTGGAGCCGCCATTGTTGACACAGAAAGGTGGGGTGATCTGATGATGGATTCATCTAATTCATCTTATATTAGGTTTTAACGATTCTGATGATTGATCGAATAGAAGCACATGATGATTTTCACAGCGATAGATAGAAATATGAAGATGATTGATTGAGTGCAAGAAAGAAATGAAATTTATTTAGAATTTGTGGTTTAATTAGAATATATAAATGTGATAGGGTAGAATAATAATATCACAATAATTAAACACCATATTTTATAATTTCTTTTCAGTAAGGATAGTTTAGTATTTACACAGGCTTTTTTTTAATTATTTTCTTAATTAATTAATAGATAGGACACGTGGCATCAATTTAAAGGGGAACCTGATGTTAGGTAGGTACGAAGTTGGTACGAGGCGAATCTAACGGTAGAATATCCCAACTTATTATTACCCAGTAGTCATATATTTATAATTATTAGTCACTATTTTTTTATTTCTCTATATCAAGATTATTAATTCTTCACAAACTCTTTTGAAANACCTCGTATTAAATTTCAACAAAACAAATAAATTTATTTTATTTCACACTTTAAATACTTTTTTAAAAACTATATTGTTAGTCTTATTTAAAATGACATAATTTTTATTTTCATTTTTTTTTATTTCTGCTCCTAAATCTCAACATTGTAGCATATAATTGCTCATTATTGAAGACCAATTTAGGCGTATATGATTTCGGACCATCATTTTTATGATTGCAAAACACACAAGAATCAATCTTCTTGAAGTTGAAGGACAAACTGGTATCAGAATGACTGAAGAGCATAATCAATATTGAAAATTGCATTCTCCAGGACTGATTATGTTTCAATAATGTGAATGAACAAGTGTATAATAGGCCTATGAAGTGTCACTACACAATCTCCAGGACTGATTATTTTGCTATAAGCCGATTCATACTCTAATGTCCAACCAGTTTCTCAACTTGATGTTATAATACTTCAATACACGGAAGGGTAACCTGAAGAGGGGCAATAGGCAACATCATAGAATATTCAAATGCTAAGTCGGCTATTATCACGAGGTGTATTTCTAATTTACTGTAAAGAATTTTATCACAAAAACGACAAAAGATACGACTAGTAAAACTAATTGGGCTCAACTCATATTCGGAATGTAAACTCATCCTTATGATATCAACTCAAGCAGTAATTTATACATGGAAGTCACAACACAACCATGACCAAAGAACTCTAGAGATATCCATCCTGTCGATCTTGTTCCTCAGCCTCTTTATTTGCAGCTTGAACAGATTTGAACCAGAGAAACGCCTGGATATGAATAAAAGTAAAAGAGTTAAACCATAGCGCTTCAATAAATTTCTTTACAGAAACTGCATTTTCGATCCCATAGGCCACAAGAGTTACAAATATCCCTGCACGGCTTGATTTTTGAAGATTTGAGACCCAATGTAACGCCCCAAATCAGAAATAATATTCAGAACGGTTTCACTGCTCGACTATAAGTGAAATTCATAATTTTCAGAAATTACCGAGTTATATTAATTTATGCTAAATGCTCAATTATGATAAATTATTCTTTGGAATAATTCTATATCAAGTATAAGTTAAGATTAATCCATTAATTTGGGTTATTAAATAATAGCAAGTCAATTCGAGAAATTTTCGACTCCGAACCCTAGTTTGGTTCCGAGTTACTTTTCGAGTAAATTCCGAGCCTAGCCAAATATTGGTATTTATTATACTTAGAATAATTTTCTATGTGTGTAATAAAAAAAATACCAAAGTCAAGTTTTGATCATTTATATATGTTAGATTATTCGGTTATTATGTTTGAAATATTTTCGTTCGAATCGAACCATTGAACTCTAGAGCAATGCCGCACCATAGGGACCAAAGTCAATTCTTTTCCTTAGCCATATTTTCCATATGTGGGTACAAGAAGTATATTAAGTGTATTCTACGCATAGTTAGCACTAAAAATGATTGGTAAAGTCAAATCATCATTAGCAAATTTAATATGCTTAATGATCATGTCATGGGTTCATTATTCTATTCAAGATGTATGTTTTTGTCCCCACATTTCCACTCCTCACCTAGTGCACTCCGCAAAGCACTTTCCCAGCCCCTCAATGCTCTTCATGCACACTCAAACACATGCCTTGCATTGGAAATGAGTACATTAGTTTTTGTTCCCCACTTTGTCTCTATGTTGTGCCTAATTTCTAACGCCATTTGAGGTCTTTATAAGCCCTCACTTTATCAGCTATGCCCCTCATCTGATGTCTCAACATTTTCTTAGTATAATTGAGAGAAATTTCGTCCAAGTCCCTCCCATTAAGATAAAGCCGAGAGGGAAAATTTAAGAACACACAAAAATCCCGAGTGCACACTTGTGTTTATTTTCAAATTCTAGACATCAACTCTTGCTACCAACAACATTATATCACTCTTACCCCATTCTACACTTCCCATAGAAGTGTTTTGAGGCATTAAACTCAAGAAAATTCGAAGAGAACAAGCCACAAAGCCGCAGCAACAAGAACCGAACGAGAACCGAGCACACCCTTTTTCTTTTCGGTTTTTGAGATACTTTAAGAGGTTGGTTTGCTAATTCCTTTTTAGGACATGTTATATATGAGATGGGGATGAGAATACTGTATTTTTATGCCTTCAGTTATAAAGGGTATATAAGCATGCAAAATGTATAAATGCTCCCAGCTCACTTGCATGTTCCATATGTCATGTTTTCGTACGTTTTTACCTATGCTATTAAAATTCCGGGAATGTGCGAATTTTGTGGATATTTCTTGAGGAAAAGAGGAATTCATAGGATCAAGAATTAGGTCAATTGGCTTAGTATAACTCGAGTTCTTGATTTTTAAAGTTAAAGATGCAGGATGAACTTTACATGCGCGAATTTCAGTTGCAACTTCAAACGCGTAGAACTCGAGTTATACTCAGGATAAAATTATGAAATTTTAAGGAAATGTTTATATATGAGTTGAGAGCCTCCATACCAAATTTCATGATTTTATCATAAGAAATGAAGGAGTTATAATTTTTAGATCGCATGCGTGTCGAACTAATTTTATGTGCGCGAGTACTCTGTCCACATGCAAGCTTGAATGCGAAACTTTTATGTAAAATCCTCTGATGAGTGGTGAACATTGTGACCGAGTTTGAGCTTAAAATGTTGATCATGTGATTTTACAAAATTGTTGCAATATGCGCATGTATTTAACTGAATTTCATGTTATGCTTAAGTCATGAGTTTAATAAGAAAATGAAGTCCTATTGACATGAAATTTGGACAGCAAGTACATGTCTATGTCTACTATTTAACTGCAAAGTTTCGTGATTTTTGGAGACTTGTGTGAATTTTAAAAATTCATGAGGTTAAGAGCTCAATTATGTTCGGTGTAAATTTTAGATAAATGTAAAATCTTGATTTAATTGATCTTCATGAGTAGACATGGCTTAGTATAAGTTAAGTGGCTGGAGAGGGTCACCTTTCCGCCCTGACCGGCAGTTCGAGTCCGTTTTGATTCGTGATTTCTGGTCTAAGTCTCTTTCCGGAATTTTAGTATTTTTCCGAGCCAGTCCAGTCCAGTTTAATCGCGTAGATAAGTCCAAGCATTTTAGCATATAATTAAATATTCCGAGCATTATACTTAGCATTATTTTGCTTAAATATTTATGTAGCCTAAGGAGAGTCGAGCCTCCGACCGCTACTCCAGTATCAGCACTTGCGTCAGATTTCATGTTATCAGGTGGGGGTCATGTACTGGATTCTCCATTATATATAATATCTGTACCATGGCAGAGGTATGTTCGAGACAGTTAGTTTTTCCAGGTGATTGGCCGACCTAAGGGCCTTTCGAGTTTTACCTGGTACCGGTGGAGGCCGAGGGCCTTAATATCCCATCGGGGTGTGCACACGAGCGGCCAAGTCCGAGAGTCTTTTGACCACAGTAAAGAAAGAAAAGAAAAGTTTACAGTTTCAGCTCTTATATATTTATGTTCATGACACGTTATTATACATGATGTCTTATTCAGTACTGGTCTTTGCGGAGCATAGTGGTTTGCTCACGCCCCCATTGTTTTTTTCAGGAGACGGAGTCGAGCGTGCCGGGTGAGCTATGCGTGGTGAAGCGTGGTCATGACAGCGAGGACATTTTATGCACATTTTATGTCCTTATTTTTATGATCATGTATTCATTCAGATATGTATGCATGTACTCTATGTATTTCTGTATTTCGGATGCTTCCGCTAGCAGACTTTAGACTGTGCGAGACAGTTCAGACATGGCATGTATGATTCCATATCCGTAGCGGATAGTTTGGTTGCATGTTTTATTATGTCTGTAAGCAAGTTAAGTAAAGTTTTTATCTGTGTCATCTCATCCCGCAACAAGTTAGTGTTTTCGAAAAACTAAGCTCGCACCACCTTTCGAAAACAAAAGCAAAAATTTTTACTCTGATTTTTTCAAAGCTAGTAAGGCGGGGTGCCACACCCAAAGTCCTAACATATGCAATTTGATCCAAGATTTTTTTTTCTTTTTTTTTTTAAGGTCTTCTGAAGAAAACAGCCGTAAACCACTTGCAGGCATGTGATATGCTTTGAGAAGAAGTGCTAAGACCTTATCCAAACAAATTACTATCTTGTTTGCCAAGTTAGAAACAGTTGTAGGCGAACGCAAGCAAAGCTTGATATGGTCGTCATGGATTACTTACTTTTTACTTCAGGACCTAGGCATATTTTGGCGAGCTTAGCTTTAGGTGCAACAGTTTCAAATTCAGCTACATGAATCAGTTATGGGCTCAAATTATCAAATCACAAAATTTATGCTAACAAAAATCAGTAATGGTGTCAAAATATCATACTGTAAAATGTATATGACAGAAAAATGAAAAGAAAAAGGTATTTAAAGCAGTGAAGCCTATCAAACCAGGATGGCTACAATCCTAATAAGAACCGTAAACATGGAAATACAGAAGCTGCCAAGCATAATATGTTCACAAGCATGTTTTCACCAGTCTAGGGATTATTTTCTTATTTTTTCCCGATGCTCAACTGTGATTTTTTTTTTCAAAAAGTAACCTCTTACTTTATCAGAAAAAAGTAGAAAAACCGATTCACACAACATGTGCTTCTCAAGCAGTTAAATGAAACTACACATGATAAAGCAGGATAATGAGCCTAGAATCTCTCAATCTCTTCGGAAATTAAGTGGGATGATTAAGTTTTGGAAGGGTATTTATAAGGATTGGGGTTCCAAGCCTTTAAATTTCCCATTTTCTCTAACACGCTTCGAAACTAGTACACATTTCACAAAAGCTATTCCCAATCACACTTAACCCAAAAAGGTTGCGCAATTTCCCCCTGAGTCCCTAACCAGTGTATTACACACATGAGCAACCCAAAAAACAAAAAAGAAAGAAAAATGCAGCATTCACAAGAAATCAACTTACAGAGGATGGGATGCCCGTAAATACAAAGAAACCAAGCAGCGGAGCATAAAACACACTGTCCGAGTTCAACACGCCGAAAACAGGTTTTTGATTTGCATACTCGAAAATTGAACCAACCTGCCAAAACAATTCCAAAACCTTAAATATTTATTAATGAACGGTCATCAAATTAGTCCGAAACTTTAAACAACAAACAGGCAATAACTTCAGATAATTAGCCAATGATAATAACAGCATCATAAGCACAATCCAATTAATTCCTTATCCCCAAAAAAAGACTTTGGGGAACAAATATTAAGGAAAGAAAGAAATACAATTGTGGGCGTAAAAGTATATTATACCGCCGCAATTGCAGTGACAGCAGATGCAAGCAAGTAAACATAGAAGGGAACTTCAAAGCTGGAGGAGCTTCCCTGGGCTTGTTGACGGGCCCAAGGTGGAAGCTCGTCTGAACCGGGCTTAGCCCATGAAGGAACCGAAGGGTCTCCACCACTGACGTCATCGTCTTCTTTTTTGGAATTGTTAGCGGCAATCACTCGTCCCCTCTTCGAGTAAATTGACCGCCAATTCTGCGGATAAGACTTCCCACATAAAGGCGGCAGACTTTGGCGGTTGAGAACTGCTGTGGATAAACGGAAAGGGGAAAGAGAGGCTACCATGATACAAAGATGCAAGTGGAGTTTCACGTATTTCTTTTATTCCCCAAAAACATATTTTCCTTATATTTTTTAACTAGAATCTCGTGGGATGTAAGAGATATTTATTAATATTTATAAACTAAAAATTTTTATTAAATAATATTTATAAGTTAAAAATATGAAATTAGTATGTAATATAATTTACTTGTATTAATATATTGAAAATGTAACATGAAACTTAAATTGTTCAAAATTACATAAAACATATCTATTTAAAATTAGTATACAACTCGTACAGTGCACGTAGTTGATAATAAATTAAGTTATACTAATTTCAAAATAAGTGTCATTTAAATTTTTTATTCATAAAGCTATATGACTACAATGTGATTTCATAAAATAATTATTTTTATAAAATTTTATCATTTATTTAAAAATTGATGTGAATAATAAGTATAATTATAAAACTTATATTGTTTCATTACTTAAAATGAATTAATTTTTGTATAAATTATCCGAAATAAAAAAATTAAGTTTTTGTATAAACTATCCAAATAAAAAACTTCAAGAACTTGAATAGTTTATTAAACTATAACTATTCCATTTACGTCCAAGTTAATATTGACCCGTAAGTTCTGAATAATTACTTATTTGAATTTTAAATTTGTAACTCAAATCTGCACTACACAATAAATTTTCTTATATATATATATATATATATATATATATATATATAGAGTTGGGATCCAATGAGAATGATAGATAGTGAAATAAATAAGAATAAACTTGTACCATTAGATCTAACATATCAATGATCATGATCAAGTCAAAATTTAAATATGGGAGTCAAACATGTAATGACAATTTTGTAATAAGTGTATATTTCGTGGTTATGGTCATTATCAAGTCAACATTTAAATATGAGAGTCAAACATGTAATGACAATTTAGTAATAAGTGTATATTTCGTGGTCAAATGTACACATTTGACCATTAATTAAGGGCAAACTAGACATTGCACATTTACCACACATGGAAGTGGGACCCACCAAACTCAACCCACCTCTCTCTCCTCTCTCCCTCTATCTCTCTCGCATCGAACAGAATTCACGTCTGACGTCTGCATCTCACACACAATCTCACTCACGACCTCACAGAACCGCCGCCCGCCGGCGACTGCCGTCTTCCATTCCTATGTCGCCTCCGACATCCTCTCGACCGCCACTAGAACCGTTGTCGCCACCTCTACCGTCATCCTCCGCCACCGCCAGAGTCTGCCACCGATATTATGCCTCTCGCCGGAAACAACATCACCACCGCCACAACTAGCCCCTCCAACACCATAGCCATCAGTCCCGCTACAGAGGTACAAAGATCCACACCCCGACATGGCCATGGCAGTCCCGCCGCCGATGAACCCGCATCTCTGCCGGTTTCATCCCCCTCCGGCTGACGTCTCCGGCATTAGCCCTCGCCATCATCGCCATCACATTGATATTTCTCTCCTCCGCCACCCGATTTGTCCCCGAATTGAATCAATTTCTCAGTTTAAAAATAAAAAAATCAAAAAAGCAAGCACCAAACCCCTAAATTCCAATTTCCGTAATTAACTTGAAGATGCTGTCCAATTTAAAGTTGCCGTCGCCGGAATCGATCGGTGGCCGTGTACGAAGGCAACAGAGGTGTGTTCGAGGTGAAGGACAGGGCCTGCAAATTGGGGCTGATTTTGATGAGATTAGGGGTTGACTTTTGAGAATTATAATTCCTAGGGGCTTATCTGCAAATTACTAGAAATTAGTTATATTTCAATTTGGTTAATGGGTTAAATTTATAATTTATTAAAAAATTGAAAGTGCACAATAGTAAAAAGTAAATCACACAATATTAGTAAGTGAACCGAATCGTGTATCGAATAAAGTCGACAAGACAAAACAGGAGTCAGTCAACTCTCTGAAAGTGGATTCATAGCTAGGCCAACATTTTTATTGGCAAATAGGGGGTTGGATGAAGCGCCGAAACCCTGGGATTTAGCCAATGACTTCTCAATTGATAAAGGACCAGCAATGGCGTCTGCCCGACCTACTCGTTCCTAGCCGGCTGAGTGGTCATTTCAGTCTGCATCTCCCAAACCATACCGGCAGACATCGATTGCATTGCGTCCCGCTCCTTTTTTATGACTGAACTTCGACAGTGCAGTTCTGCCCAACCTCAGGAAAGGTTTCCCCCTGCCTTTCATGAATGGAGCTCGGCAATTGAACTTTTGTTCCAATTTAAAATAAATCGAACCGAAAAATAAAAAAATAAAAATAAAAATAATATTTATTTACATAGTTTGATTGGTTCAGATATTTTGTGTATTTGAAAAAATAAAGCGACATCGTATAGAAACAATCGAAATTTTAAAATTAAAACAGATAATCGAGTTGAAATATGAAAATTTGAACAAAAAGTTTAGTTTGGTCGGGTTTAGTTGTTGTGCCGTTTGATAGCCATTAATGTGTAATTCATGTAACACTATTGTGCACGATTCATGCTTTTATTGTGCATTGTGAATCGGTCAAACTTTTGTCCAAACCAGATTAAGACTTAACCGAATAATTTGTTGTTTTATTCGGTCGGTTAACCCAATTAATCAAAATAATTGAAATATAATATTATTGATATTTCAAAAACATACTTATTTTTTGTAGTTATATTTAATATTTTATAATTTGTTTTTGGCTTAAAAATATTATTTTTTAAATGTAATAAAAATAATATTGTTATATACTTCGTTCGATTCGATTATTCTGATTATTTTAAAAGTAATGCCGAAGTCAAAATACACGAAGTTTTAAAAGTAACCACAAATAATTGAACCGAGGTATATAAATTCAGACTGAAAAAATAAAGTTAATTCATCTTCACGCTAATGAGCAATCTAATAAACATTAATGTGCAATCCGTCTAACTATAACTTGCATTGTTTAGGTCGATATTGTGTGTCTGAACCGATCGTCCTGTTGCTCAAATCAAATTGAAACATATCCAAAATACTTTGTTTATTCGGTCGGCAATTACCCTAATTATTCTAAATAATTAATATTTTAATTATAAAAAATATATTTAATATTTTAATAATTTATTAAATTATTTTATATTATTGTTGAATACATAATATATGAAATATCAAAATTAGTGATGTGCATTCCTACAAACACTAATGTGCCATCCATTCTTTAACATTATTGTGCAATTATAATTTATTCATATACTAAAAAACATATTTAGTATTTATTATTTCTATTTAATATTATATATTATTGTATGTTGAAATAAATAATATATATAGATCAAATTATTTATATAAAAAAATAATATATTTTGTGTAATATTTTTACATTTGTTGAATTTATCAAATTATTTATGTAATAAAAAATATATTCAATATATATAAATGGTTATTTATTATTTTATATTATTATTTGTGAAAAACAGTAATAGCGATATATTAAATTTACATGAATACATATGAAAATGCACAATGATATGACAATACTTTTCTTATTTTTTATTTTTCACTCGGATCAGTGTACGAAATATCCCTAATGTGCATTCTCTATCCATTGATGTGCACTTCGTATAACAATATTGTGCATTTTGTAGAGTTGTATAATCAATTTGCATATCCATATAGGAAATAAATGTGTTTTTTATTTATAATTATTGTTTATTTATTAAATTTTTAATAAATTACAGAATTGCCCTATGACCTAAATAGTAATATAACTAAAAATTTTAAAATTGCACAAAAGGCCTTGATATTTGCCTAATTCTCAAAATGAGGCCCACAATTCTTAAAGCATCATCACAGTTGATTACGAAATAGTCTCCAACGGCGGACTAGTGATGTGGTGTGGCGATGAAGTAGATGTAGTGGATATCGCCGGCGGCGTGAGGCGGAAGTGATGGTTGGTCAGCGGCGGGAAGTGTGGCAGGCTCTGGTGGATGTGGGCGGGCCGAAGGCAGGATGACGAATGTCGTTAGATGGAGGAATGAGCGACGGCGGCGGTGGATCTAGAGGTCCGGTGAGATTTGAGTCCGACAGTGCGTGTAGTGTGTTTGTGTTTTAGAGAGAGAATTGATGGTGGTAGATAGGTGGGGCCCAACAATTAATTGGATGGTGATGGTGTAGTTGACTGCTTCAAACGTGTACAGAGTAGCGAGTATTGGTTGGATGGGTCCCACAGGTTGGTAGTGGTTATTGAGTTAATGTCTAAAATACCCTTAATGAGGGCTTATTATTTACTCTTTTTCATCTGTTGGATCATCCAATCCGATGGATACTAAGTATTCTTATTTCTTTCACTGAGCACTATTCTCATGGGAGCGCGATCCTATATAATATATATATATATATCATCTCACAATTTTTTATTTTTTTTTGTCGGTTACCTTATTGTTCAAATTTATCCACTAATTCTCAAAAATTAAATTACAAAATTTAAATTTTATTAACTAATATTTGTTCAAAGATCTTTCTGATTTTAACAACACATTTCCAACCAGAAAAAAAAAAAATGATCATCAGAAATCTCAAATAAAATCGTCCACTTTATACCAATATCAAATTTATTAAGTTTTGTCGACTTTATATCATAAAATGATTAATTAATTGCTACATGAAGTTTGCCAAATATATAAGATACATATGTACAGATATATGATATGAATATCTTGAGATACAAAAGAAATTTTTATATGATTTATTACCTTAATAAATCAGATTACCTAAATTGTACCTTTAAAACATACCATAAAATGTTTAAATAGTTTCCAGACTTAGTAAACAATATTTTTTGGCGGAAAATAGTTACTATTTAAAAAATAATCAAACATTTATATATATTTATATATATATATATATATATATATATACAACTTTTTCTAAAGAAAAGTGCTACAAATACGTAATAAATGTATATAGAGATGTACATAACACTCAAATAGAGTGAGATCCACTTGATTTTTTATTTTTAGTAGGATCCACTTAATGTAAGTGTTATGTACACCTCTATGTACAGTGTTATGTACCTATAACATTTCTCTTTTCT